GTACTTGTGATTTATGGTGATTTAATTGTGATTTACTGGATTTAATTGTGGAGTTATTGATGATTTCTAATGGTAGTTATTGGGATTTTAATTGTGAGTTATGGTGATTTTAATGGGATTTTTGGGATTTATGGTGATCAATGGTGATTTAATGGTGCGTATTGGGATTTAATTGTGATTTATTGTGATTTAATGGTGATTTATTGGGATTTAATTGTGATTTATGGTGATTTAATGGTGATTTATTGGGATTTAATTGTGATTTATGGTGATTTAATGGTGATTTATTGGGATTTAATGGTGATTTATGGCGATTTAATGGTGATTTATTGGGATTTAATTGTGATTTATGGTGATTTAATAATGATTTATTGGGATTTAATGGTGATTTATGGTGATTTAATGGTGATTTATTGGGATTTAATTATGATTTATGGTGATTTAATGGTGATTTATTTGGATTTAATTGTGATTTATGGTGATTTAATGGTGATTTATTGGGATTTAATTGTGATTTATGGTGATTTAATGGTGATTTATTGGGATTTAATTGTGATTTATGGTGATTTAATGGTGATTTATTGGGATTTAATGGTGATTTATGGTGATTTAATGGTGATTTATTGGGATTTAATGGGGATTTAATGGTGATTTAATGGTGATTTATTGGGATTTAATTGTGATTTATGGTGATTTAATGGTGATTTATTGGGATTTAATGGTGATTTATGTGATTTAATGGTGATTTATTGGGATTTAATGTGATTTATGGTGATTTAATGGTGATTTATTGGGATTTAATGGTGATTTATGGTGATTTAATGGTGATTTATTGGGATTTAATTGTGATTTATGGTGATTTAATGGTGATTTATTGGGATTTAATGGTGATTTATGGTGATTTAATGGTGGTTTATTGGGATTTAATGGTGATTTATGGTGATTTAATGGTGATTTATTGGGATTTAATTGTGATTTATGGTGATTTAATGGTGATTTATTAGGATTTAATTGTGATTTATGGTGATTTAATGGTGGTTTATTGGGATTTAATTGTGATTTATGGTGATTTAATGGTGATTTATTGGGATTTAATTGTGATTTATGGTGATTTAATGGTGATTTATTGGGATTTAATTGTGATTTATGGTGATTTAATGGTGATTTATTGGGATTTAATTGTGATTTATGGTGATTTAATGGTGATTTATTGGGATTTAATTGTGATTTATGGTGATTTAATGGTGATTATTGGATTTAATTGTGATTTATGGTGGATTTTTAATGGTATTCATTTGATTTAAGGTGATTTATGGATTTAATGGTGATTGGGATTTAATGGATTTATGGTGTTTAATGGTGATTTATTGGGATTTAATGGTGATTTATGGTGATTTAATGGTGATTTATTGGGATTTAATGGTGATTTATGGTGATTTAATGGTGATTTATTGGGATTTAATTGTGATTTATGGTGATTTAATGGTGATTTATTGGGATTTAATTGTGATTTATGGTGATTTAATGGTGATTTATTGGGATTTAATTGTGATTCTTGGTGATTTAATGGTGATTTATTGGGATTTAATTGTGATTTATGGTGATTTAATGGTGATTTATTGGGATTTAATGGTGATTTAATGGTGGTTTAATGGTGATTTATGGGGATTTATAGGGGATATAATGGGATTTACCCTCTGGTTATGATTAACGTAGCCATGGTTTTTCGATGGCCCTAATCGAAATAGATGGTCTACCGTGCTTAAGAATTGTGGATCTTTCCACGGCGATGTAACAAATAACCAGATGGTACCTGGTTTACTGGGGATTTTGATGGGCCTAGGATTGGCCATGCTTGATTTCCCAGGATGTAGGATTGGCCATAGTAAATCTGTTTGCTGGGGATTATGATAAATAACCAGGTTTCCAAAAATGCTGGTATAATAATACCCTATAACAATCATCAGTAAACCAGTAAACCAGCAATCTTCCTGGCCTGGTTTACCATCATTTATGATAACTAGGATTGGGAAAGCGTTTTCAACCACCTAGTTTCCATAAATGGTGGTAATCCGATTAAAATAGATGACTTGGGGGTACCCCCATTTCAGGACACCTTTATATATTGGTTTAAATATGGTTATGGGAAAACGAACCAAGCATTGTTTTTGCATGTTTTTTCTATATCATTTCCAAGTTTTTGTTGATCAAAATCACCATGTTGGGGTTTCCATAGTCATGCGGGTATCCCAAAATGGATGGTTTATTTAGTTATTTCATGGAAAATCCTATTAAAATAGATGACTTGGGAGTAGCTCCGTTGCAGGAAACCTCTTTTTTTTGGCTTTTAAACATGATAGTAACTCAGTGAACCATCAACATATTACTCATCCCGTGAATAACGATGGTAACTCTGTGACACATAGTTTTCTATTACAATAATGGAATGATGTATGTGATATATTTCGGATATATTGGTTTTTAAACATTTTAAACATCATAATGCAATTCCACAGCTGTGTATGTTTTAAAGTTCTTGATATGTGATATGTTTTAAAATTCATCAGATTTGGGAAATTAGATATGGGAACTTATTAAACATAGTTTATCATGAAATATGTCATAAATAACTTGATATGTGATATATTTCATGAAAAGTCATCATTACATATCATGTATCCCATTGCTATTCTATGCGTCCATGAAATTATATGATGTGATAAGCACATAGAATGGCCATATGAGCTCATATGTTAAACACTGACATCTGTGGAATTATTCAGCGACAATATTAGTTTACAACATTGTTAATGGGAATCATTCAGATATGATGTGAATTGATGTGATATGATTTGAAATGATACGATATATAAATAAAGCAGAATTTATGACATGATACATATAGACTGGTAAGTCATACACAATATAAATATGGAACAATTATGACTCGTAAAAGATGAAACATGTTCGATATATTTATATACAGATAATATCACAAAAATAGATATTCTAACGTATGATGGGGAATATTCAGCTATGATATAGAACACAAATATCAAAAATAGAATTTGACCTGAATACACAACTAAAATAGGAACCATTTGAAGAGTTTAACTATACAAATCAAACATACATGCAAATATATACATATATTTACATATATATATAAGTGCGTATACATTTACTATATCACAGATATATATATATATACACCATTTATATACATATATATATAATATATACACATCATGACCCAATCATCATGGACTCGTGCCTGACTTCGAGGCAAACTTTGCTCAGCACCCTCAGAGGCGAGTTTTTTTGGGTCGAGTCATTGGGCGGTACCAGAAATCAGCGACCCAGCGGACCCAGCGGCTGGGGATGGGTGGTTTTGCCATTGGTACCCTCTGGTAATGACTAACAAAAAACTATTGAAAATGGCCCAGTCGATTTATAGTTGATTTTCCCATGAGCAATGGTGATTTTCCAGTTCGCAATGTTAATTAGTTTACCAGAGGCTGTTTTAATGATTGGGGCAGTTATTTTATGTATACAAAATTAAAAATAATCAATTTATGATTGGGGTTTTGCCATCCAAGTATATTAAAAGCAACGATTTTGTGGTTTATGGCATTGGGGTAATTACATTTGGGTGGATTACCATTTATTATGTAATCAATGACATATGGTGATGACTTGGGGATGGTCTATGGCATTGGCTGAAAAACACATGAATAATAGCACGGATGATTTTTTTGGGGGAAATGACACGTGACTATATAGGATGATTAATAGGTAATTCAACCATAAAAAAAAATCAGGATTTAGCCAAAAGAATGGATGATAAATAGGACTGATAAATGATTAATGATAGATGTTTGACTATCCAACAATAGATGGTTTCGATGTCTATCGGCGAATGAAGAGGCAGCTGATAGCCATGTTGATATACGTTAGCGGGGTCGATAATTTTAACATATACTGTGAATATCAAAATCGCGTAATAATTTCAACCAGCAAGTAGGTTCGATTGAACCATGTGCCAAATCTTGAGTTCTGTCATTTTTCGTGTTTTCGGCTCTGTGTAGGTGATACCAACATGCTACATGTCCACAGCTGAAGCAAAACTTTCATCGGATCGGTTGCAGCAGTGCAGGAACTGCATTAGCTAACGTTACTGTAGATTGGGATCCAGTCATTGAGCAAGCCGGAGTCACTTGTAAAAATCTGGATTCCTGTGGGGAAATCATAGAATAATGGCAATTTTTGTTAATAAAACATGCCATGCCAGTCATTTCAAGTCATTTCCTCAGCCTTGAAACGCACATTCCAACGATACCAGGTCGATTCCACTGGAAGATATCCATCTCAAAGTTCCTAGAATTCAGCCTATGGTCGCTGCTTAACATGGCAGTGATGGCAGCATCAATCTCTCCCTTCCAAGTCTCCGCAAAGCTTGCACTGACAGGCGAAGACGGGACGACTTAGACCTTTCAAGGGAGCTCCAAGTCGTTCATATTAATCTCAGACTAAAATCAACCCCACATGTTTATGAAAATATTGTAGGGGGTCTCAAAACAGTGATGTTTCATGATTTTTCCCTCGAAAATCATATGTTAATTGGATTTGGCTGGTGGATTCATATTTGGGATGGTGATTTCCAAGGGCTGACACTTTGCTTGGGCCGTACTGCGGTCCATGGAAGTCGAACACCAGAGGGTGATTTCTTGGGTTTCTCAAAATCCAATGGGTTATCGCAAGGTTCATCTGGTTGGTGGTTTCAAACATTTTGTTTTTTTTTCCATAATATATGGGATGTCATCCTTCCCATTGACGAACTCCATCATTTTTCAAGATGGATAAAACCACCAACCAGTCATTAATGTTCCTCATTTTTTCCTGAACATGGCCATAGATTGGTAGATTTTTTTCGTTCGGACCTGGGAAATTACCAGGTCATCGTTTGTCATAGTCTGGGTGTCCCGGTTTCAGTGTTTCAGATGGCGACTTCACCATGGGGAGCCACTGGCCGCCACCTCTTAGAGCATCCCAAAGCTCAAAATGCTGGAGCTATAGCTGCAACGACCCCCTTGAGACGTCACTCCTGTTGTTTTTCACGGTTCGCAAGGGGTCAACAAAGTACGAAGAATATAGAGAACAGCCCAAGTGTTTGATCAAATATATTCCAATCCCTCTGAATAGTACATTCCACCTCAAATTCTCTCCAAAAATCAGAAGTTTCGGTATATAATTACATTTTTCCAGGGTATGGTTTGAGGGCACATAATTTTAGGAAGAGAAATACGATTAACATTTGACACAGAAGAACATCCCAAGTTGTACTGTATGTTGTTTGTTGCTATATCGTTTTCAGTAGGAATCAACATCATACTCCATTCAATATCCCACTTGATTGATTGATTGGATTGGTGTTTCGACATATGTATGATTCTCCACCCTTCCCGAAAAGACGAGTCTAATCAAAACTGTGTCCAGGGTATCTAAGATTGGCCATGTTCATCCCACCCATATTTTGATGTGAAATCCCAATGTTCAATGCTGATATATACCCTAGTTTCGTGGGTTTTTTCTGCACTGTTTGAGTTGAAATGGCCATTTCTGAAGTTGAATCTCCATGTTTGATGATCAAATATGGGTCAATACCTATGAAAATACCATTTTTAGTGGGTTATTCACATCCATAAATCCCAGCTATTTTGATGTGAACTACAGGGGTACTATTGGTTTTGACCCATCCCCAAAGCACCGTTCCTCAGATGTTTGGCTGAGACCACTGTGAAGTTCAGTCATCTCCGAGGCGAAGTCGTGGCCACCGTTCGCGTCACTGGTACTGAAACGGTGGCCGTGCTATGTCAACTCATTGCGCGCGCCACAGGTGCGCCGTGTTTCGCTGTGTGAAATCGCGGAGTTGAAACCGCCTGAAACTGGTTCGGAACAGGAGAATCGATGGTTTTTCGAATGGAACATCCTAGTTTAAATGGATGATGTAGGGGTATCTCCATTTTAGGAAAATCTGATCTACTCGATTCTGGAGGGTTGACAAGAGTATTTACGCAGCATCTTCATTTTGTGCTTTTGCACAGCTATCATTGACATAATATCAATGGAAATTATGGTGGAACATCACCATTGCTTGCACTTCCTCCTTGCTACTGAAACGGAGGTTGACGTCCATGGTGAAACGGGACACGACACGCTGACGGTGGCCAGGGGAAGCTTCTTCCTTGCGGCTCTTGCTGGAAGACTCTTGAAATCCCATGGGGATTTTGCGGGGGGAACACCTGTGGGGAACTCGCTGCACCGTAGCACGGTCCCGTTTGCTCCGTATACCCTCTGGTAAACATACAAAAAGCTATTGAAACTGGCCATTTATCGTGGATTTACCCAGTAAATCCCAGTAAAAATGGTGATTTTCCATAGTTATGTTAGTTTACCAGAGCGTAGTAGCTGCGTGTTCGAAAAAACCTGGGTGAAAAAAGCACTCCGAAATTCTGTGTGCTGCAGATGAAAAGGACACAACAATCATAACCGTTGATTTCTGAGAGTTTCTTGGGCAGAGAGCCTTGCACATGTGTAATCTAGGTCAAGGTCAACCTTGGATGGGTAGTTTAATCCTTCAATCTTTTGCAATAAATTTCGGAATATCTACTGACCAACCAGCTCAGAAGTTGTAATTTCTTGCCGGGTATCAAAGATTCGCAATGGTTTTATGATCCATAACCCATATAAACCCATATATAAGTGGTATATTCCATATATAACGGGCCATAAATGAACATTGAAAGGTGTGTCATGGGTGTCTTTCTTTGAAGTGCCAACCCCCAAGGTCCACTGGTTAGTCGCTTCATCATGTGGGACCCAGGTTTCCCCATGGCAATTTGAGGGTATACTACCCGATGTTCAGACACACCTTCAGTGTTGCAAACTACATTCCAGGAATATTTCACATTGTTTGGTAGCCCCATTTCCTGTGATTCCGGGTTGAACTTTGGTGTCTTTCCACATTGGCGAACTGGCACATGTCTCTAACATTCGCGCCAGGGTAATGTTGGACCCTTCAAGGGAGCCGGTAGTATTTCTTACAATCCATTATTTGGCTATGGATTACCCTCTGGTTATGTCAAAATAGCTATTGAAAATGGCCATTTATAGTGGATTTTCCCATAAAAAATAGTGATTTTCCATAGCTATGTTAAATTACCAGAGGGTATTTCCTATAGCTACCAGTTGGTGATATTTTGAAGGAACCTGCTTGGCTATAATTCTCAAAAATCACGAACTGGATGTACTTCCTATGATCCACCAACTGGTTACACCATGTTACACCGGGGTTTGTTTGAAAATATAGTACTCCTATGTAAATCCACTGATTAATCAGCATTCTCCCGATTCACAATTTTGCAGTGTATACCCCAGTTTCAGATAAGCCCGAAAATCATAGTGTTGGTGATATGTGTGTGGTGCCCATGAAACAGTTTATGTAGTGCCCATTCGTATTGGCTAAATTGCCATTATTGACGGCTTTTCTGAGCGTATCCCCCGTGCACTCCCACAAAATTGCCATTATATCCTCATTTATACCATATATTATCATATGTGATCTTAAAAAACAATATATGATCATATTTTACCATATATTATCATATATTACCATATATGATCATATATTACCATATATTATCATCTATTATGTCTCCTACATAGCCTTGTCACTTGTGACTGTAAGGGCCGCCTGTTGGAGAAGCATCAAAACTTGGCCAGCGCCGGTGTGAAAGACGACTGTAGCGTGGAGATCGTGTCCTGGAGCGGTGGGTTTCGCGACGGTGCCCCCGAAACGGTGTGATGTGTTGGTATCCCAAAGTTGTTGTGGTGAAAACATGGGAAATCCATAGAAAAATTGGAAAACCATGGAAAACCATGGAAAATCATGATGAACAAGTATATCTGGTGTTGGAACTAAGAGCCAGTGACTTACTGGTGCTAAACGCAGGGAATTTTCGGGAATGATCCCAGTCATCACTAGTAATGTCATCATCCCAGCAACCCCCAGCAACCCATCCAGCAACCCTACGTAAAACGCACAAGTCAGGTGATTGGGACAGGAGGATTTATGACTTTCCATTCAGTTGGGAATTTAATTCTCCCATTTGACGAACTCAGATTTTTCAGAGGGGTAGGTCAACCACCAACCAGCAGTGATTGGTGATTGATATAAGATGGTTTCTATGCATATGAGTTGGACTTATTGATGGTTATTGATGTTTGTACTGGAGCCATTTTGCTTATTGATGATATAAGATGGAATATTATTATAGAGTGATTGGAATATTTTTGTGGGTGATTGATGGTGTCTGGTCATATGAGTTGCTATGTTACGAGGAAAATATGCTGATTTTGGAACAGCATTTCTGTTGGGAAAAATGGGCAACGTTTTGATGTTTCGACAAGTATCATTTGGAGAAGGGCATAGAAGTTATATGAACTATATACTAAGTAATATGTTGGATGATAGAACTTCCTTTTCGCGGATCTTTTCAAAGGGGATGCTACATTGAAAACATGAGGGGAGAACAGCCAACCTTACTGTTTGGATCGTCCCAGTCTATTCCCACTTAATATATAACTGGTTGTCAAAGTGGGGCTATAAATGGTTATAACCAGTTTTATTTGAGATCACCCTAGGTAGGGGATTTACTAGCCATGGCCAAATTCTCCACTGGAATAATCTGGCTGAATTTTCATGCCTGACTTCATTTCAGGTTGGTGAAGTATTGGTTCTGTATCCAATTGGCCCAGAGATATTTCGCAACAATCTTACTGGTGCGTTTTACGTAGGGTTGCTGGATGGGTTGCTGGGGGTTGCTGGGATGATGATTATTGATAGTTAGCCAGTGGATCATTCCCGAAAATTCCCTGCGTTTTAGACGCACCAGTTTGCGCAATTCGTGGGCGATTTGCAATGTGAATTTCAGCCGCCCAGCCACTTTTGTGGTTGGTGGGGCACCAGTTCTTTCGGAGTTCCACCACAATGAGTCCGAATGTTCGATCATGTTTGATGGTAGACTCCCCATTAAATTTGATAGTTTTATTTGATTTTTTCAATGCGTAAATCTGGGGAAATCTGATTGAAATCCCATCAATCTCCATTCATGGTGACATCATGATAACAATATATAGTATCAACATGTATCAACAAAATTATGATTGACAAATATATAGTGGGAATAATTATGATTGAAATCCCTTCTCTTTGCTAAAAAAATGATTTCTGAAATCGATCAATCTCCATTTGTGGAGTCAAAAAAGGGGCAGACATCAACTGTCGATATTTCCCTGAGATTTGCCGCTTCACCACAGGTGAAAGACCAGAGATTAGTGTTGACCGCCTCCCATGATGGCACGGCGAAGATCTGGCGTGCGGATGATGGGAAATGTGCCTTTGGAGAACCAAGCTGATCTGCTTGATCTGCGAACTATCTGGAACTGGAATTGGGAGAAAAACTATTTCTGATACTTCCAGGATGAAAATCCGAATCAGCAGTTGGTTAAACGATGATAAACATGCCCATGTTTTTTTATAGCTGGTGCTTTGGAACATGAATGGATTATGACTTTCCAGTTGGGAATGTCATTATCCCAACTGACGAACTCATATTTTTCAGAGGGGTAGTTTGAAACCACCAGCCAGCAGTGATTGGTGATTGATATAAGATGGTTTCTATGCATATGAGTTGGACTTATTGATGGTTATTGATGTTTGTACTGGAGCCATTTTGGTTATTGAACCCACCAAGCAGATAGGCTTTCCAGCCCCATGTTTAGGTCATCCCTTTTGGGAGCATCACGAACCATGGGGAAAAGGATGATAAATTCCCTTGGAATTTGGAGAAACATCATGTCTTTTTTAGACAAATTACATGGACATATATGGAAGATGATATGTATATATATTTCATATTGTATGGAAGATGATGTAGGCAATCATGGTATATTGAAACTGTGGCTGGTTTTTTGAAATCCCGCGCCTTGGATTCCTTGGATGGTTGAACCCACAAAAAATCATGGGGCTAACCCCCAAAAAAAACTGTGTTTTAAGGATTTCGCAAGCATCCATCTCGACATAGCAACAGAATCTGGTGGTTTGGAACATGTTTTATTTTCCATTTCATATATGGGATGTTATCCTTCCCATTGACTTTCATATGTTTCACGATGGTTAAAACCACCAACCAGGAATGTTCGAACTCAACGTTCCAGGTGTTCGAACTCTATCTGGACATAGCAATGCAGTGAATGCCGCGCGCTTCTCCAGCTCCGGTCTTTATGCAACTGGGATCGGATCAGTAGGATCACCCTACTGACCCCATTTATAATAACAGGGGTGTGGCATGTCTCATGTCACTGTTTTCTTTGGCATGTTTTTTTCAAAGATGTGGTGAAGAAAATGCATTAGAGGGCTCCAGGAGAAAGTCAATGCGAGCACTAAAAACATTCATGTGTGTCAGTGGGTTTTGAAGAATCCAACCGGGATTTTCGATGATTTTCTGTTAGAAAATCTTGGGGTTCCCAGTCACCAAGTCAATGGCTCTGGAGTATGGAACTGGCCCAACGAATAAAGACAAACATGGCCAGTACAATCCAAAATCATGCCATTTACATCCATAAAATCTGTTCCGGATGGATTTTTCTCATGACACATGGAAATCAAATCATGTGCGTACAAAAAAAATGTTCAGTTCTCTGATGATTTGCAATTCCAATAGTGTAGATATGGAGGTTTCCTAAAATAGAGGTACCCCCAAATCATCCATTCATAAAATGTTCCATGAAATAAAGCATCCAGCGAGCGTGGGATCTCCCCATGACTATGGAAACCCCATGAACCCCCCGCGAATTCGATGGGCCATCGGGGTTTAGTTTAGTAACCCCAAAGAGATGGTTAAATGTAAAACTCCTACATTGGGGTAATGATAATTCATGATACATCACTGATCTATCTTTTTGGGGTTTTCTCTGTCTATATATAATTGATTGATTAATGATCGGGTTCAATCCTCTGGTTTATAATGGATTACTTGTTAACCAGTTAACTAACTCTACAGCCGATCTAAGTACCCTTAACTGTAACCAATTATATTGACCAGTCATATCTCCATCTCATGATGATTAGTTGAACCATGTTCACCATTTTTGTTGCTTATAAACACAATGTTTTGTTGCTTCAATCACAATTTTGCTTGCTTCAATCCCAATGTTTTGTCAGTCACCATTGGTTGCTTGTAAATCGATGGAGTTTGGTTTGTGATAAATCCAAAAAACTCCAAAACCTCCGAAAAAGACCAGCCGATCAGAAGCGTTGTTTTTTGTTTTGGATTTTTGTTGGTGAAACAATTTTTCTCCAAAACGTCCGAAAAAGACTGGCCGATGAGAGATGATCGATGAATCGATGATGAGGTCGCCACTGCCTCCCTGGACCAAACGGCAAAGCTCTGGATGGTTTCCACGGGAAATTGCGAGGACCGGGTCTGCGGGTTCCGCATCGGATGAAACATGGTGACTTAGGATGGTACCATTGATCTATGAAACATATGGTAATTTCATATAGATCTTATTGGATGATTTGGATGTCTAGTTTTTTTGTGTGTTTCCAAAAATAAGCCATATATTTCATGGGATCGGACCCACTTCATGTAGTTTTTTTGTGTGTTTACAACATATACTTGGATGAGTCTGGCTTTTGTATGTTTTTGTTTGTAAAAATGATAAGAAATATCAGTGGGGACATCCGATCGGACCCACTTTGTTGATAGGATATCCACTTACAAATCTACAAAGTGGGTTGAGATGTCTTTACAGGATATTATCCACTATATCCACTGAGCTATTTATATATCCACTATAGCTTAGATTTATATACCCACTTAGATGTCTTTGTTGGATATATAAATCTAAGCTATAGTTCTATCCTGTTGAGATCATCGTTGTGAAAAACGTCCAGTGGATTCTGAGAGATGGATTCTCAGAGACAGTTCGAAGGATAGTCCTACAATCATATAGTCTGAAAATGTGATGAACATGTTTCGAATATCTGAAAAAATAGTTTCAATGTTCATATAGTTGATGAATTTTGACCATTTTTTGGGGATGTTTCGAAACTGATGGGTTGTAGTAGTTGAAATCTATGAGAACAAGATGATCTTTGGGGATAAGTCAAACATAACAAGGCATCAACCATTGGCTGGTAATGATATTATTGACTGGTAATCCCTTCCCCCTAATACTAAACCCCGCCCCCCCTAATAAACATCCGGAGGAGTTTTTGATATCTGGGAAGACTCTATTTAGTGTTTGGGTGCCAAGCTTCCCCCAAATACTACATTTAGAACCTTTATTTTTCAAAAAACAAACTTGTCTATTTCATAATCAGTTAAATTCCTTTTTAACATCTAATCAACATATTGCCAAAAAATTGGATTTCGAAGGTTCCCCTAGATCAAAAGCCTTGATAAAATCTAAAAACATTGACTTTAAAGGACGGACCCTAATTTAAAAAAAACACCACAGTGTTGACTACTTTTATTATTAGGGGGTGACACCCTCAAATGCTACCTTTATTTTAAAATTGTTTTCTAAAGGGAATCAATTAAAACTCAAACTGGCCAACTTCAATTTTCCGCAAATTTCGTATTTGGACCTTAGTTTTTAGTGTTTGGGGTACGTTTACTACTAGGGGGAAGTGATCATTCCCGGACCACAATGGGCACCATGTCCACCAGGCCACCCTACATGGGCACACAGGTTCTTTGGTGCATCTCGGCATGACTTGGAGCTTGACATTGGACGGCTAATCACCTTCCAACCTTAGCGAAGGATGTCGCATCTCATTTTCCCGTGGAAAATTGTCATAAAAGGGGTGGGTTATATACTGTATACACCATGTTTAAACCATACAGTATTGGACAATTCCGAAATACCATCCGGTAAACTAACATGGCTATGGAAATTTCACCATGTATTGATCATTTCCTAGGAAACCCCATGGATTTCCATAGCTATGTCAGTTGCTTCGTGACTCTGTGTGCCTTGATGGACGCCTTCCAACTCTTTTGAGTTTGATCGATCCTCCATGGGTAGCATGGCAACAGCTACTGACTTTGAAACAACCATGCGAGTGATCACATGAGGGAGCTTCTGAAAATGGTGGGAATTTCTCAGAAGGAATGGGCATCATGGTTGGTTCAAGGTCCGTGGATTTCTCGCCCGATGATGCGTTACTGGTCACTGCCTCCAGCAGTGACAACAGCGGTCGGATTTGGAATCTTCAAAGCATGGCACCTTGGAGAAGATGAGCAACTCCTGGTGGTATTTGGAGCTTTTTGCAGAGGAGTTTTACCATGTTTTACCCCCAAAAAACAGCCCAGTCGTCATGGATGACCATGACATAAGCTATAGGGCAGCCATGGTGCCTTGGAGGTTCCCCATGTTTTTCACCTGACTTAACCCCTGGTGAGTTGAGTAGTGAAGCGAAGCAAGTCTTTAGCCAGAAAAGGTGGCAAATTTAAGTGGCAGCGTATCTAAGAGTGGTCATGATGCTTGGCAATTTTATGATCATCCGAGTTGTGTGCATAGCCATGGTGATGTTTTTTTGTTTGATCACCTTAAGGACGTGTTTCTTTCCTCATTCCAGGTTTCACTGTGACGCAAGGACATCGACTATTGCAGATGGGACATATTTGGAATTGTGATTGTGCCGGTGGCAGGTAAAAGGCGATTGTGCCGGTGAGAGAGACCCCCAGTTCCGTTTGTTGGTTGACTGTTGACACCCCCCCATGATTCAACTCCTTCGTTGTATCTATAAAAGACCATCGAATTCAGGCCAGGTCCGCGTCAACTTCCGCGGATTAGAGGGGACCACAGCTGAGTATTGAGGTACGCAATTTACCCATATCACATGAAATCATTGTTATCTGGTTGGTGGCTTCAAACATGACTTTTATTTTCCATTTCAATCCATTTCATATATGGGATGTCATCCTTTCCATTGACTAATATGTTTCAACATGGTTCAAACCACCAACAAGTTTTTTTTTCATGGACGATCTCCAAAACCATGGGTTTTTACTATAGTTTGGTCTAATGACTTGGATGATTTGGGGTCTTTTTTTTTAGGACATCTCCAATTTCCACGAAATCCCCATTCGGTTGGTTACGCCATCCAAGCATTCCGTCTTCGGACCGCGGGGTCTGAGGCGTGCCAGACAATCCTGGCTGGCTACGAACTGAACAGTGCCAGATTCACAGCCGACGGCTGGAAGGCGCGGGGGATATCGCACATTGCTAAATGGATTGTATTCACCATTTGGTTGGTGGTCTAGAACATGAATTTTATGACTTTCCATTCAGTTGGGAATTTCATCATCCCAGCTGTCGAACTCCATCATTTTTCAGAGGGGTAGGTCAACCACCAACCAGCCATATATTGGATACCAACCATATATCAATATTGTAAATGGATGTAAATGGTTATTTGATTCACACATGACCACATTACGCAATACCCATATATGATAGTATTCTATCTGGGTCAACCTTGGTGGTCATCCTTAACCAGCTAATTATTTATTTGGCGGGTATCTAAGATTCACCACGTTTTCGAACCTGGGATGGGCCCCCAGTTGTTGGTGGAAGAATCCTGGCTTTGTTTAGTCGGCGTTGTTATTTTCCCAATAGAACTTCAAACTTTTGGGGAATCTGTCGAAAATGTGTTTTATTTTTTGGGAGACCAAAAAAAAAGAGAAAAAATCCGAGTAATGGTGATATGTTCATGGCAAAGAACGGAAGAATCGCATCCACCTAGTACTCAAGACCTCAAAAAATGGGTGGAAGAATGGTTCTATTTCATGGGGACTTCACCTCGAAAAATCATATGGATTTTATACGGAGATATCATGGAAATCTAACATGATCTTTTTCTCGGGATCAGGATCTAACAGAATATTACTGGTTGGTGGTTTGGAACATGTTTTATTGTTCCATTCAGTTGGGAATGTCATCATCCCAACTGACGAACTCCATCATTTTTCAGAGGGGTAGGTCAACCACCAACCAGCTTAGTTCATAGCCTCCGGTGTCATCAAGCATGGGCCGCTGGGAATTCCGTGGCCTAGCCATGAAGATTTCGTTCGATTTCGCGGTTGATTACCAGAGGGTACCACCATATGGATCCATATGGTAAGACCTGGTGAACCGCAGATGGCCTTTTCTATTGTTGGCTGGTTGGTGGTTTGGAACATAATTTATTTTCCCATATATTGGGAACAATAATCCCATTTGACTTTCATATTTTTCAGAGGGATAGGTATACCACCAACCAGTTAGTATTAACCATCTAGTAGTGTAGCTAATTTTGACTCATAGCCAGCTATGATTAGGTGATTTTCGCCATGTTTGATTACCAGAGGGTAATTGAATTTCGATTCCCGTATTTTGGGAGCCATTCCGCCATTCCAACAAGTGGTTGATCATCAGTTTCCCTGCCACATCGCATCGACCATAGAATCCAGGAGCAAGGTCCAAGGTGCAAATCACTTGGTGAATGACCTAGGGTTTACCATCTGGTTATTTAACATAGCCATGGAAAATCACTATTTTTAATAGGTAAGCCATCTATAAATGGGCCATTTTCCATGGCTATGGCTTTATGGTAGACTAATCAATCATCCCCCACTTAAAGATCGAACAGATCACTGATAGATTCACCCTTGCCGTTTCAGTGATTTGCGGCATCTTTTTTGGGGGCTTACTATAGATTTCAGGGAGTTTAGAAGCCAACTAAGGAATGTAAGTGGTATAACCATGTATCACCGGTATAACCCTTGGAGATATGATATAACTGAGTACCCATATGCCCCATGGTGCTGGAATATTTACCAACCTTTTCCCGAACAAAATCACCCAAATAAAAGATACCATACATGGAGCATATGGGATATAACTATAGTTGAGGTCATGGTTTACAAACCAACAGAACTATAGTGGCCCCCAGCAGCATCTTCAAGCTGCTTAAGCCTCAAGGTGTTAACAGCCTGCAGTTGGTATGACTGCGCCCTACTTTGGTGCGCGAAGACTGGCAACATTTTGCAACGATTTGCGCCTCACGATGCTGTGTCTTGGGCGATTTTCTGCTGTTTTCCGTCATTTCCATATAGGTTAGTTTGCTCTAATAACTTGGATTTTGGGCTACCCCCATTTGGGGAAACCTCCAGTTATGGTGATGAGTTTGTCCATCAGTTGGACAAAATCAACGACCAGCTCATGTCTTGATTTCTTGAAATAGATTTGCGCATTCCTCTTAGAACTTAGAACTGTCACTCAAATCATTCCACCTCTTCTCAAGCTAGATTCGCAACTGTCCCATTTCTTCATGAAACCAGCCCATTCCCATAATATGCTCCATGGATCTCCATGGTATATTTACCTACATTTTCCTGGGTGATTTTGTGAACATGTTGTTGTGCATATTGCACCATGGTGAGCATATCAACAGCACAGCCTGACGCAACGTCTGCGTGTCCTGAGGCTGTGTTGCACAGCTGCGTTTCACATGACGCATCCACCGTGGCCGGGGCCCCGGGGGGCCCCGGGGGCGCCGATGATCGTCCTTTGAGAATGGAGAGAACATGAGATGATCATTGAATTAGATTGAATTAGAAAAAGTTACTTTACTTCGAGTGATCCCCACCATGACATTTATGCATTTTGTTACTGGCATATCTTCTGGTATTCTATCTGGCAAACATTCTGAACTTTATCTGGAATACCTTGTGGCATTCTATCTGGCATATCAGAACTCATTCTAGCTGGCATACCTTCTGGCATTTTATCTAGCATAACTTCCGGCATTTTATTTAACATTCTATCTGACGTTCTATCTTGCATATCTTCTGGCATCCTATCTGACATGCTATCTGGCGTTCTATCTGGCATATCTTCTGGCATTCTATCTGACATATCTTCTGGCATTCTACCTGGCATATCTTCTGGCAGATGTTCTGGCATATCTTCTGGCATTTCATCTGGCATTCTATCTGGCATATCTTCTGGCATTCTACCTGGCATATCTTCTTGCATTCTATCTGGCATATCTTCTAACATTCTATCTGGCATATCTTCTGGCACTCTATCTGGCATATCTTATGGCATTTTATCTGGCATATCTTCTGGCATTCTATCTGGCATATCTTCTAACATTCTATCTGGCATATCTTTAACATTCTATCTGGCATATCTTCTGGCACTCTATCTGGCATATCTTATGGCATTCTATCTGGCATATCTTCTGGCATTCTATCTGACATTCTACCTGGCATATCTTCTGGCATTCTATCTGGCCGTTGAGGTCCAGCGGTGCGCACTGAGCTGGGAAGGTCCCAGGTTGAGGTCCAGCGGTGCGCACTGAGCTGGGCAGGTCCCAGGTTGAGGTCCAGCGGTGCGCACTGAGCTCGGAAGTTGGCGAAGAGCTTGGCGAAGAGTTGGCAAGGCGGAAGTGGAGGTGGAAGTTGATGCAGACATGGTCGAGGAGAAACTGGAGGAGGAGGCGGAGGAGGAGGAGGACAACAGCTCTGATAAAATCTAACAACCCTCACCTGGCAGGTGGGGAATTAGATTTTAATGGATCATCAATTTATTTTTTTGTTATTACATGATCTAATTCAATCTAATTTCCAACCTGAATTAGATTGAATCAGATTCTGATTCGATCGGAGATGGATACAGTGAAAAAATTAAAAAATGCCACCACCTTGGAGGAGCGGGAATGGTTCAGGAAACTGGGCTATAACTATAACCTTGTTTGTGTATATGCAAAGATCCACCATTTTTCATGGGAAAATTCACGAACTAAATGGTGATTTTCCATAGTTATGTGAAATTACCAGAGGGTAAGCCAGTTAAGCAGTTTTTGGTCGCTACATGGCTCATCTGAGTCATCTAACTTGACCAATATTTGTCAGGTTGAAGTGTCACCAATCAGAGGACGGCTGGTCCAGCTGGAAGCTAAGGCGGTAGCACCAAAAAACAACCCGCATCATCCAAAGCAAGCCGCATCCCAAGTACGATCCCAGTTGGATCGTAGTTTCTTAATATAGTAAAATATAGAGTTTAATGTAGTATACATATATCACATATCCATTATTATCTTTATATTGATCTATGGGATGATATTATTTTAATAAGTATGAATAGTGTTATTGGTTCCAATAGTTATGGGATAATATATATCCATTATATCCATTATTATCCCAATAAACCAACATTGAGAATATTAAAGATAAACTACATTATTGGGATTACATATATCCACTATTATTCCAATAAACCATAGTATTATCCCAAAGTAGTATACATATATCCATTTTATTGTTCATCTTTCTATTCTTCCCTAAAATGATCTTAAATCAACCATGTGAGGCCCCCAAACGAAATCGCTAAGTTGGGGGCCACATAACTCCCATGCCATTATGGTTTATGATACGCAAATAACTATACTATTCATGGGGTTCACAAACTCACAAACATAACTGGGTGGGCCATAGCTATGTTAGTTTATAATTGGGTTTAAAAACCATTTACCCATTAAATCAATTGCCATTTCAGGAACCTAAACTGGAGGTACCTACCATATAGAAGGCCTATTTTTTAGGGTTAAATTTCAGGGAATATCCCCACAATTCATATGGCCACACATTTGGTACAGTACCTCCATTTTAGGATCGTGAAAATTATTGACAAGTGTATGATGGTGAGAATGATGACTCAAGAACATGATGGTGAAAACGAGCCTGTAGTTGGCTGCCTGTATGATAAAATGCTAATTTTCCAGAGTTTTTACCATAGGTAAACTATGTCAACTCAAGTTTTTCAACCCTAAAAAACCCATCAAAATTACCATAGGTAATTTACCACTAATTTACCATTTACCATAGGTAGTGTACCACTAATCAATGATATAACAAAATTTGACCATAGGTTTGCATGACCAGAGGGTAACTAGTTGAGCCGCCACCGAGGCCACCGCCACGTGGGATGGCGCCTTGATCCTCTGGTGGGTCGCTTGGTCGCCCGGGAAAGGTGGATTTAAAGTGGCTTTCTAACTGGTATAACCCCCATGAAGTATAGATATATCTATTATATAAATATATATATATATTAGATATCTATTATATATCTACTATATATCTACTATATATCTACTTTATATCTACTATATTAGCACCGAACACAAAGGGCGCTTGCTTTATCGTAGGAACGGACTTGCAGGACTTTTTCATCTTTAGACACGGCAAGTCTTTTCTCAGTACTGAGGCATCGGAGCGGCAATCGAAAAAAGGCTGCAGTGATATTTCCGGGCAGGGTGAGAACCACAGTCGTACTTGTAAATCTGAGTCTGGCACATGTACTGCGTTACATTAGGCAGAGAGTGTGTCATGAAGCAGTGCACTTGGAAATTCGGCTGCAGTGCTAGCCTCTAGGCAAAAAAGAAGAAGCAAACAGATCGCTACCCATCCCCGGTCAAGACAACACCAGGGTTTCAGCATAAAAGCAATGAAATAAGTGTCATGTCATGGTAGCAGGTGAAATTCAGGTATCAGCGCGGTGCAAATCTGAGCCTTGCAGCGGACAAGAAACTTCCAAAGCCGCAAAATCAAAGTCCATGTAGTGTTCGCAAGAGTCGCGCAATGGCACTTGCAGACAACCTTCGCTATGGCAATGGCAATGGCAACGTTGACTTTGTTACATTGTTTGCCGCTGCAGCTCGTGGCCACAGGGCTGCCATGACGGTAGAGACTCCACACGAGCTGAGCGAATCGTCATTGTGAAGGAACCTGCGCCCTCCAGGCTGCTGGTGCTCGATGCTGCGCTCTCTGCGGATCCGTTGGGCGCACAGTGCACCTTCACCTTCATGAGCGGCCAGGAGCTTGGCCGCCACATCTTTCAGGACGTCCGCGCCGAGGATCCGCTGCTTCTCCAGGACCTCCAAGACGAGGCGCGAGTCGGTGTAAGAGGGCCTGCTGTTTTCTAAAGCCCTCCTGCTTTGTTGTCTGTTTCCCCACCAGGAGCCTCCATAAGGCTCAACGTGTACTGGGTGGCAATTGTGTTGTTTTCTTTCCCTGAAAATTTCGTGGGGGCTTCCCGACATGACATGGTTTGTCCACTTACTTAAACTGAAACAAGGGGATTATCAAGCTTGTTTTGTTTGATGCAGTTTCTGTAACTAAGAAGGGTGGGGTTGCATAATTCACCAAGAGAGTAGTGCCTAAGGATTAAAATCGTTGCCTCTTTCCACCTTGTGTTTGTTTCAAGCTGAGCTGGCACAGCCAAGGCAATGACCACAGATTTACAGTGACTTTCAATGACTCTTTGGCTAGTTCAAGCTTCAGCAGATCCTTTGACTACCAATCCAGAGCTTCATGGACATCCAAACTGGCAACTGTGCACAGGCATGCTTGGAGGACTTGGGCATCTGAGATATCTCAGCATAGTGAGTACAGCCTTCCAGCTTCTGAGGTGCAGGAAGGTGGCATCATACCAGATGCTGTGTTAGCTAAGTGTGGGCAAATTATCAATTCTTTCCCACCTCGCAGAAAGTACAGCAAGAAACAGCCCAAAAAGGCTGAGGAAAAGAAGAACAAGAAAGACAAAAGCACAAAAAAGACAAGAGACACACGAAGGAGAAAGAGAAAAAAGGAGTGCTTGCAGAAGGGGCTTGGCTGTTTGAATGGAATGGGGGGGCAGAGTGCTTATATTGATTTGGATACTTTGATGATATGGGATTTTTTGAAATTAATATCATGTTATGTGTAAATATATGTTATTATGTTTTGTTATTTGTGTTAATTTGTTAGTATTTGTTTTTATGTAATTTTATTTATATATATGTATTTTGATTTGTCCTATTTTTGAATATTTAGTGTTAGTTTTTGTGATTTTCACTATGTTTGTATATTTTGGCGCCTGCTGTGATGAGCCTACTTTTAGTGGGCCTACAACCCCTCACAAATGACGGCCCCATGGAGGATGCGTCTGTGTCGGACTCTGGCTCGGACGCTTGCCGTCCGAGTCAGATGGCTGGATGAGGACATCTTCATGGACGTGGACGAAGCGGTGGTACTGGACGAGGCGCTGTGCATCACAAACCTTTTGCCCAAAAAATCTGCTCGGTATATAAGCAGGTATGAATGTTTCTGCAAGGACTTGAAGCTGGCTCAGGCTGGTCGTTGCAGCAAGCGGCCATGCTTCACGTTCTTTGGCACTAAGCTAACAACAAACAGAGTTAGGCAGCACGCTTTGGGCAGGCATTCTACGCGCGGCTGCTCGGCTACTACCGCCGCCTCATCCACAGCAGCTTGAGCGACCGCGATGTCAGGGAAACGATGCCGAACTTCCAACTAAACCAGGCGTACCGCTTCAAGATGGCCATGCATTGGCTGCAAGATAAGAAGGCGGGGCAGCAGCAAGCATTCGTTCGTGACAGAAAAACAATCAAGCAGCTGAACCGGAACAATTCCTGTCGCTCAGGCTGACAAGGAGGCAGACATAATCATCGCTGCGCTCCACGACAACGAGTTCTCGGAAACTCTTTCTGACGAAGGCCCTTTGTAGCTTGCGCTTGATTCGTTTCCCCCAACTGAATCTGCTTGCGCATTCTTTTTGCGAGGCTTGCAGTTATAATAGGTAATAGATAATTTCAAAATATACATAGGTACGCACGTACATACATACATGCATACACGAGTGCATTCCGAAAAACGATTGCCACATGCATAATAACCTGATGCTTCCGGACGGATTTGAGGTTTGGCTTCTTCAATAGGCGGCATTCCTGGATATGAAGGCGATGATGGTCGCGAGGCCCGGTTTGAATCCGTCATATGCATGCGAGACCGCGTGGCTGTCTATAGAGAATTGTGTGTTCAGGGTGCCCTATGCCCACCGACGCCTTCGGACGCCAGGGAAGCAGACGCGCAAATGTTGGAGGCTAGGACTGGCTTTGTGCCGGCGTGATTTCGCAACCCGTTCGCTTGTCTGCGCTTGCACCAACAGGTTGCGGCGGCCTTTTTCTGGAGCACCAGCTTTGGCGGCGACGTGTGCCTGCCGCGTGTCAAGCGTAGAATGGGCGGGCGGCCTGTCGCATCATCCATCATCAACCTGTGCAGTTTCGGTTGCGCCAGGCTCTTGCCCAACTTTTCCAGCTCGGTTTTGCAGGCGATCCCGGGGCGCGAGGGCGGGCACACCGTCTATTCGCCGTGGGAGCTGGAAGAGAGCCGCATTGACAAGTTGCCCTTAGAGGCTAACGGGAAATGCTGTCCAGGTTTTGCGGCACTCCAAGTCCCTCCAGCGCGCATATGCCCGCATGCCGCCCTTAGCGTTCCCATCCGTCACAGTTCCCTTGCCGGAGCTGGCGCGGATAGATGCGTTGGCCGGTGTTTGTTCATCTACGTGTCGATTGTTGCGTTTCCTCACCGGCTACGCACTTGAGGCTGTTGTCCGCATCGACCGGGACGAATTCTTTCTCGACCCAGTCGACAATAAGGAATACGATGTGACAGACGTGACAGATGAGCAAGCTGACATTGGCGTTGCCCTCGCGGAGGCGCGGTGGATTTTCGCCGCAGCCGAGGGACTAAGAAGTCACGGGTACTTGCGTGCCTTTTCCTTTCAATTTTTCCCTGCAGGAGGAGCTTGGCATGCTGCGCAATATAAATCGATCTATCTATCTATCTATCTATCTATCTATCTATCTATCTATCTATCTATCTATCTATCTATCTACCGACCTATCTATCTGTCTGTCTATCTTTCTACCTATCTATCTATCTATCTATCTTTCTATCTATCTTTCTATCTATCTATCTATCTTTCTATCTATCTATCTTTCTTTCTTTCTATCTATCTATCATCTATCCCTATAAATCCCTATGGATCCAAACACCGTCTGAGAAGGTACTTCACAAACACTTCCTAAGAAGGTATTTAGATCCGCGGGCTATATATGTAAGTATGTATGTATGTGTGCATGTATGCATGTATGTATGCATGTATGTATGTATGTATGTATGAATGTATGTATGAATGTATGTATATATATATATATATATTGATGAGTGTGATAAACTAAATACCTGGCACATGTTTTATGGTTTTAAATGGCTGCCTAATATCTATGTCAACCAACTGGATGGGTAGAAAATATTCCTTTAGATTTTTGCAAAAAATAGGAGTGTCTACTAACCAGCTAAGATTGGCAATGACAGTTTGTTAACTAAACAACGGTAGTTATATTTACATATGAAACATTATGGTTAGTAAATGGTTGTTCGTTAACTGATATATACCATCATATTATATAATCATATAATTTCCATATGATTCATCAAATCATGTACATGTGGCGGTTAATAATCCCCGAATGATCTAATATGGATAATCATTCCCTATTATATACCCATATGTAGCCATCACATATCTTATTCTATGGTGATCCTGGTGATCCTTGCTGCCCAAGGCCGAAACAGGCCAACTGCGCCGGAGACTCACCGGCTTTGGAGAGAAGTCCAAGGTGGGCGCCGAACACCGCAAGGGATGGGGAGCAACTCTCCGAACAAATGCTGGATGGTTTGGAATGATTTACCCTGGATTTACTATGGTTTACAGTGTTTTAAATGGTGTGTTTTTTTGTGATTTACGATGTTTTGCACGATTTTTCACGTTTTGTTTGGTGCATGAACTAGGATTTCTGGCGTTCATGTTTGCGTGAAAATTGTTGGCTTTAACTATGATTTGACTATCCAGTGGTTATGGTTAATGCAGGGGTCTTCCCATCCCCCTTTCGACATGGGTAGCCGCTCCCCAGTTGGAGCTACGAATTGAGTGTCCCAAGCACACAATAGATTTACCCTTCAGTAAATTAACATGGCAATAGGAACTCCCCTAGAAATGGAGTCCGAAAAAATTGGGAAAAACATTTGCAAAATCAGAGAATGGTCCATCAAGGAGGGTAGCAAACATTGGCCATTTAACGCTATGGAAAGTACCAATCCAGAGGTGTCCTTTTCTTTTTGTTGGGGGGATGAGGATGGAACGCCAGAGATGGGAATAAAATCAAAAACATTATTTATATATATACATATATATATATATATATATTTGTATATGTTTTTATGATTGGGAAAATACTAGTGACATAACTGATTGTTGTTGATAATAGTCGCGGTAGTACTAATAGCCAAGCATATGTATACGGTATAATCATGATGGGGGATGGGGTCAAAACCTATGATACCAAAATTGGGGTATCAACAACTGCGATTCTATCCAGATGCCAGGGGCTTGATCAATTTTCAGTATTTCAGTAGTGGATAGTGACGGACATGTTTCAGTGAGATTGGAGCCAACAACTGGTTGAAGTTGAGGACGGGTCACTACATGTCACCACCAGTGATTTGGGCTGACGTTCGTCCATTTGAATGGATGATTTTCATGTAAAGTTGATGAGGTATTTATTCATTGTTGTTTTTTTGTTGCAGGGTAGCTGGCAGTGGGATCACGCAGCACTGCAGACTAAGCGCTTATGCTCATCCATGAGATGCCGTGGAGCTCGTTGATGAAGAACTGGGTTGCAAGCCATTGCAACCGAGTGATCGGAAGATTCAATAAATCCATGGCCCATCTAAGTATGGTTTTCATGCAAAAAATATCGGAATCGAGGATGATTGGAGATTCAAGTTGGAATCTGAAAGGCACCATTTGAGATCTTAAAACTGAAAAATGATCATCTAGTTTGGCATATCATGCACCCAACAATGACATCCTGAAAATACAGTGTATATATATATACATCAAGTAAAACCCACGTTCCTGGAGGTTTGCCCATTTATCTAATTTGATCTCAGATGGTCAGAGACACGATTTTGACATGGCAGCAGAGTGGACAGCTGGGACAGCAACAGACATATATGTTGAAGAAAAGGACAGATACTGTAAACATATTTTCACGGTTGTTACTTGACTGTATATGAGTTAATGTGGTTAAAACAATAATAAACCATCCCCCGGTCATCACCATTTTAATGGGTGGTATAAACCATCAAAAATATGGGGTGGTTTATGACATTGTTTTACCCACATCAACCCATTTACCGATCCGTTCCAGTTCCAGATTAGCATCCTCACTGTTTGATGTTTTTTCCGCACAGGTCTATGCAGCCTTCTCCCCGGATGACCAACACGTGGTTTCCGCTGGCATCAATCACGTGGCACAAATTTGGAGCATTGAAGCAGTTGCTTGGATTTACTCTGGTATTCTTCTGATTTCTTATGTATGCGTAACCAGTTTGCTATGGAACATATTGGAAACTAAGCCGACTATCCCCATTTTTAGATATTTTTAGATGATAGTTCTATTAAAAATTGTCTTTTTCCATGGTTATCTTCAATTACCAGAGGATAACCATCCAAGAATTGGGATGGAAAAAACCTGAATTTCCCATGAATGGAGATTTCACCGCTCGGCAGGTTGGGGCTTCACCTATGACCCTGAGTGGCTTGGACTTGCGAAAATGTGGGAATCTATATAGTATCTCTTGTTAAAATTCTGCCATAAACAACTGCATGACTAATTTTTTGCTGTGAATCTCCAAATTCGGGCGATGTTTTTTTCGGATGGTGAAAATGGGACTTAGCTGGGACTTAGCCCACAATTTTCGGCTGGTGGACTTAGCCCACAGCGCTTCCAGGTGGTCATGGCAATACCGTGACCTCCGCGGAATTCTCGGGCGACGGCATTTGGGTCGTGACGGGATCCTATGACGGGACGGCCAAGATCTGGGACTCGGTCACTGGTGAGACGCTGCGGACCCTGAAAGGGCACAGCGATTCGGTGCGTTCGGTGTGTTTTTCACGCTAAGTCGAAGACGTGGTGGAAAAAAAGCGTGATGTTCTTTTCTGGATCCATGATTTTTTTGGACATCTTTGGGGTATACTTGAAAATTATAAAATAGAAGGTAAATTAAAAATTTAAGTTCTAGGTTTGGAGTGAAACATGGATCCAGTCTGATGGTTTGCAGGAATTCACGCTTCCCTATCTTCCTATGCAACTTGGGAAGGTGTACATAGAACTATATAAATGTACCATATCTGCGTGGTGCTTTCAATGCTTTCAAGCCGATATCTCGACCAGTGACATCCAGTGACATCCAGTGACATCCAGTGACATCCAGTGACATCCAGTGACCAGTGATATTCGGGTTGAAACCACCAATCAAGTCGTTAATGATCTTAATGCTTCGACTGAAACTCAGAAGAACCTTGGAAAAAAACAGTCCGTGAAGCTAGCTTAAGCTGGGCTAAACTGGCTGCTCTTGGACTTCAGAATTCAGAACTGAACTAATTATTGGATGTTTGATACTTGGAAATGCAGTTCCAGCTATAAGTGGATAATATACATATATATATATATAATCATATTTTTGATATGTGTGTAACCATGGTTATGTCCGTGGTTTATATACCAAGTTATGGAGGTTTATAACCACAATTATATCTGTAAGTAACCTCAACTGTACCCCCGTTCGCAGAAATGGGGCCTCATGAGGCGCCACGAGTGTTGTCCATTGAAAAAGTTCTTGAACTGGCGATAAGTCTGGGTAAATCCAGTCCCCTTTTTGGGCAAGACATCATCAAACATCATGTTATATACTAATGTTGAATATTAATGTTAATTATATATTAATGTCATTTAATGTCCAATCACATCATAGAAGAGACTTGTTGGCTTTTTATAATGTGGGTAAAACACTCATAAACCACCCATTTGGGAATGGTTTATACTACCCATAAACATGGTGATGACTGGGGGATGGTTTATGGCATTGTTTTATTCACATAATGCCATTTGGAGAACACACACATCTTACCCTTTGGTAATTTAACATAGCTATTGAAAATGACCATTTATAGTTGATTTGCCCATTAACCGGTTGGTGGTTTCAAACATTTTTCCATATATTGGGAATAATAATCCCAACTGAGTAATATTGTTCAAGATGGTTAAAACCACCAACCAGATTAGAAATGATGATTTTCCATAGTTATTTTAGTTTACCAGAGGGTATCATCCAAAATGGCAGGTGTTCTGGACCGCCTTGGTCTTCTTCAAGCGTTTCTATGCGGTGTCTTCGCCTATGGACCTCACGGGCTTGGCCATTGAGCAAATGTGCAAAAATGGCATAGCAATACAGAGCTTAAAAGAAATAAAGCTTCGGGGTATCTAAGGTAGTCTTCAAAGAGATGGGTCATATGGCCATATGGGATGTCTTTGCCTTTCTTGGCCCTTTTTCATACTGGATTTTGTATGATTTTGTTTTCTTGATGTCCAAACATGGTGCAAGGATTGCCTTTCTTAGCGGGGATAGTTCAGACAAACCAATGGAATCATGAGAATTACATCGAATTCCCGTGAAGTTGGGCCGTGTCTTACAGAGATTCCATCCGAAAAAATTCGAGTTTTCCATCGTTTTCCATGGTTTTCCTATGAGACTTCTCCCAGCCGTGCTAGGAGTTTGACCCCATGGTGATGATGTACACCAGCGTGCACGTGGCGTCCCGCCCGGCTCCATTTCAGTTCGATGAGTCTCATGGCCCTTCTTGGGCCTTAGATCGTGCCAGATCTTGCCGTAATGGTGATCTAATATGATCTAATGGTAATTGAAATGGCGATATAATTGTTATTAATGATAGATCTAATGGTTATACTGAAATGGTGATATAATTTGTTATTGCCTTAGGTTTATTGATATATAAATATACATGTATATATGTATATATATGGGTTTGTCTGAACATTGTCCCAAAAACCATTGGTGACACCAACCACCATTAATGTCCCCACTCGCATGTCCCATGAAATGGCCATATATTTTGTTGACGGACCCATGTAATGGTTATTTAAAGATTATGGAATGGATATATCATGGCCAGATAATAGCTATTTGATATATCCATTCCATAGTCTTTAAATAACATGTCATGATATGTAGTCTATCGTTGATATATTTCCATTACATAGTCTATCAGTCATATAACATCTATGTCTATGTAGTGGCTATGGTTATACAATGATTAAACAATGGCTATGTAGAATGGCCACATCATGCGGATATAATGTGATGTCATGGGATATTGAACCAGTTGGTGATCTAGTGTGGATTTAATAACGGGATAATACAATTGTATAAAAACATGTAATTTGAAATAGTGTATGTGGAACTGGAAAAAGCACCTCGCGGCCATGTGGCTTTAAAGCTTGGTGTAGATGCTTTTTTCACTCTGAGTTGGCTGCGGAGTTTTTGCGGTCCTTCTCTCAGCTAATTTTTTTGGCTCAGTGGAAGCAACACATTGTTCGAGCTTCTGCTTTCATCAAGTTCTGAAACAAAGAAAAGTGACAGCCTTGATGAAAGAAAGTCAGCTTTTCTCAACCACTTCTTCAGCTTTTCTCATGTTCTCTTCCCATGAGCTTCAAGAAAAGTGGTGAAAAGTGCCAGCCTTGACATCATGTGAGCTGAGGCTGGAAGGATGGGGCAGCCCAGCGCTCAGTAAAGTCAGCATTTTCAGTGGAAAAAACGATGTGGTTTTTGGTACAATGTGAGGCCCCCCAGTTATAAGTTGGTTTATAAGCCCCAGTAACTATAGTTATAAGTACCATAAACCATAGTTATTGGAGTTATAAACCAGCTTAGATATCTTGGGGGCCTCACATTGTACCTGTGGTAAAGCCAAGAGTAGAACCACAGGGGACTGGGTCAGACCACTCATTTCAGACCACTTCCATTCCATCAGATGGTTTAGCATCACCTTGCCATTTGAATTGCCATGTTTTCTAGGGCTAAATCCGCATGTTAGTTCTGTCTCCCATCTCCCATGATGTCCCTAGAATATCTCGATTTCTGATGGTTAAATCACGTGAATGTGAGCTGACCCATTGGACCAGGATGGTCCCTGCAGACTCCCATCTTTTTTTTGCTCATGAGATGAATGCTCTGGATTTTTGGCTTGAAGCCATGATAACCCAAGCTATATTATGGCTATATCTCCTATTTCTGAAAATTTATGAAGGAAATTTCTGAATTTATATAACCATTTTCTATAATTTTGCTAAAACCCAAGCTATATGAAGTCCAAGTTCATGTCGTCCTCAGGAAGCCGTGTTGTCAGTGTGATGCCGACAAGGACAACACTGAGGTTCGCAACAAAAAAACGTTCGAGATTTTCTAGGTGGTGGATTTATATGGCTTTAGATGGGTTTTAGATGGGTTTTAGATGGATTTAGATGGGTTTAGATGGGTTTAGATGGTTGTAGATGCTTTCAGAGTGATTTTAGATGATTGTAGATGGGTTTAGATGGTTCCAGCGCCACTTTTCTGTTGTCATTCGATTGCCGGACTTTCAGTAAATGTCCCCTTGGCAAAATGTCGCAGTCGCGTTTCCAACATATGGAACACATATGTGGAACAACTAGAGTCCCGATTTCAGTATAGATAGATATTTAATGTTTCCCATATACGCTTATATAGATAGATATTTAATGTTTCCCATATACGCTTACACACACATATGTATATATATATATATCGATTTACTGGGCCCAGCAGATACATATTGTAATATATAAAATTATTTATATATATCCATATACACATGTGTATATGTATTATATAGATTCCCCATATATATTTATATATATATATATTTCCCCATGGCTGTAATGATTGGTTTCGGGTTTTTCCCCCTTTTCTTTAGACCGGAACGTCACGGAGGCGACCATCAAGCGCAGTCTCCCAGCGATGACGGATGAGGATGACAATGAGAAACCATCGTGTGGAGCATAGCATCGCAGCGCATTGCCGGTTGAGTCAATGGTCATTCCAGGATCCTAAAATGGAGGTGCTGTGCCTTATAAGGCCATATTTTGGGGGTGTATTCCCTTACGTAGGCCTTACATAGGCCATATATATGGTAGGTACCTCCAATTTAGGTTCCTGAGATGGCCAGTGATTGAGTGGGTGAATATGATGTGAATATGATCTGGGAAAATTATAACGACCTCACTGCGACCTCACTATGATCATGGTTAGTAAGGGGAATCATCCCCACGATAGCCTTGTTTCAGGTTAGTGAACTATTATAGTGTACCCAGATATGATGTTGAGTGTTTCAAATATGTTGTTGCATAAACACTCACTCATTGAGTGGATGAAACACTCAAGCGAATATGAAAAACAATAAATATGATATTTTTTGATAATATTAACAATAAATAGGAACGACTATTAAACGTGATATTTAGATATGCAAATGGTTGGTAGGCGGCAATATGTTTTTAGTTGAACGTGACTCATGATGGCATGGACGATAAAAATCACACTGTGCAAGCCATTGACCACTAGTAGTTTGATGATTTATATTGATTTATCCAGCTAAGGGTGAGGGTAATACAATATATGATTGTATTGACTTACCTTCAGGTGCTTTAAAATGGCTAACTAGTTCTGACTAAACATTATTCATGTTGATTTCTATAGTTAGCAATGTTAAACTACACCTGCCAGTAATTCAGTAATGATTCGTAGTGATCCCATATGCTCCATGTATGGAATATGTATCAACATTTACCCCGAAACTCATCCAAATGTAGGTAAATTACATTAAATTACCATACATGGAGCATCTGGGGATACTGGTCAATGTACGTCAAAATATGTGTTGAAGATGACTCTGGTCGTGGCCAATCCTGGGATTCTGCTCCAAACCAGCAGCCCAAAACGCCGCCAAGAAATGGATGAACATTTAAATATCTGGAGGGCGGGCCAGACCGCGAGGCCCCGGAGGTAGTATGAAATACCACTTCGTATATTTAAATGTAGTTACCGTATATATATATACATATATACATATACATGTATATATATATGTATATATATACATGTATATGTATATATGTATATATATATGTATACATAGTGGTTTGGAACCTTTTTCTTTCTATATAATTATTGGGAAGAATCATCATCTCAACTGACGAACTCATATTTTTCAGAGGGGTAGGTATACCACCAACCAGATATATACAGATGACTTGCCTATTGAAATTGCGATGTTCCCATCATGGACGATGTCAGAGCTGGAGGTGTCCATAGTCATGGGGGTACCTTAGGGTTTTCGATGAAGCCATCCAGCGACAAAGGGGTACCCCCCTGACTATGGATTCAAGAAATATCAGGCAATTCACATCATCATGCAGTTTCTTCGTTTGAATGTCTTGGTAAAACGTTGGTTGATCATGTATTCCTCTACAATGGCCATGATTCGTATGCCGCATGTTCGCCACTGGGGATGTTTCAGACTGCATTTGCATCAAAATTGGAAGGTCTTAGATGCTCAAACTATGAGTGCTGGGTGCATTACCCCACAAGCGAAAAAACTGAGCTTCTAAACTTGGGAAAAAAATCGGAAATAAAAAGATTGAGCATCCAAAGTCTATTTCGAAAGGCGAAAATCTTCCAGCACAGATCCGAATGCTTCCAGCATCTAAGGGAAGCATTCGTGGTGACTGAGGAGATGCTGTTGAGCCGTTGAGCTGTGAAATCCCTGAAATTTTCGGCATGGATTCCAGCCATGGAAATGATGGAACACGGAGGGCTCTCAATCTCGAGAGCTTAAAAAGTTTGATGTAACATGTTATAGAAGATGATCATATGATATCATATGGGAGTCGTCCTAAAACCCATGCAAGGCTTTTAGTATCTTTTAGTATCCGAGTGACATCTGCAGATATGGATGTGTGTGTGTGTTTTGCTGCAGTGGCGAAAGCGCGATTCTGCTGGGGCGCGAAAGGGCGCGAAAGGTTCGCGATAGCGCGGCGTAAGGGCAGTTTTCGGGTACCATAATTTTGGATAACTCCCATATATATATATATATATATCTATCTATCTATCTATATATCTATATATATATATTGTGTATAGCACTATTGAGATTATAAAAGTGGATATCTATCCAAGTGTAGGATGTAGGATGGTATATTATATTATATTTACCATCCTGCACTTGGATACACTTGGCATATCTTTAACTTTGCTGATCGTTACATATCCACCACAAATCCAATTGTTAGCCTATAGTGAATGTATAAGAAACCAACAGACACCGATTCCTGTAGGTTTTTAGAAGAGCCCTTGGGCCCAGTAATACATCTTGAAAAGGACCCTTGATAGTTTACAGTAGTTCGAAACCAACGTGGCTATAGTTCTACCTACCATTAACCATCGGTCCATTCACTGTGATCCAAGTGCGTCAACATCTCTTTCGGTTCTAAGAGGCACCGGGGATTCGAATGCAGGAGAGTCCCGGAAAAGAAGCCAGCTACTTCGAACGGGAAGCAGAAGAGCTCAAAGAAATTAAGGCGCGATTGGCTGGATAGGCCCTAAAGAGGGCCAATCAAAACACCATGGAAATGGCCAGCCATTTCCATAGGTACAATATTAATGAAAATGAGGGGGAACGAATCAAGGTCACATAATGTCACATATACATATGACATGTTG